ATCATTTGAATCAGTGAGTTGTTAACTGGAGACTAGACTCGCTCTGTCTGAATCATTTGAATCAGTGAGTTGTTAACTGGAGACTAGACTCGCTCTCGCAGGTGTAATCTGCTCAATCCCATTCGCGGATGAATTGTTTAGTGCGATTAGCGAACCGATTTAACAGGTTCATTTAAAGGAATCGGCTCGTTCACGAAACGAACACCACTATGCGTGACGATTTCTCCAGTTCAAAATAATGAGGAACGACATGCTTTTATGAAATATGTTATGATTTGGAATGTGGTGAAGTAAAAGTAAAAGTTTCCCAAAATAAAAATACTCCAGTAAAGTACAGTTACTTGAAAATTGCACTTAAGTACAGTGACGAAGTAAAAATGACTTAGCTACTGCCCTCCACTGAATCTTAGGACGTTTTGGGTTTCTTACTGTAACTTTCAAACAAATTAACCCTTTAAATTTATTTTTAAACATCATAATTAATTAAAGACCAGTTTTATTTCAGTTCACAACACCACTAGCATGTCACCAGTAATTACATTATATTAATTTTCATGGACCCTTTCGAAACACTGCTGCATGAAGCTTCGAAACTTTATGACTCTTTTGTTTCGAATTGATTCAGAGTGCGTATCAAGAGTGCTTATTCTTCATTTTAATAGTATTTCATAATTTGTAGATTACATTTAATAGGTTACACTTGTAAAACATTTACAATTTGTTATGACTGTACGTTTGATTTGTTCTCGTTGCAGCTGGTGTCGCCAACATGCGCTTTTTACGCGCGAAACACGCTTCGAAATACTGAATCGTTTTGCAATTGATTCAATTGATTCGAAGTTCCGAAAAGCTTAGTTTCTAACATCACAATGGATAATATTTTATCAGTGTTACATGTAATGATTGATGCAAACAATAAAATAAGAATCAGCAAATAATAAAATGACTCAGTTAGAGCTACAATAAAGACAAATACATGGGAAAAAGTGACACACAGTATCGATCAATTACCACATATTAATAATAGGCCTATTACAGGCTTTAATCGTCTATTTGACTTTACTTGTAAAAACCAAGCGGCAACCTCCCGCTCTCTCTCGTGAAGCCAACAAGGAAGTGACTTAAACTGTAATTCATCAACTGGCCGCTAGAGGCTGGCTGCAAAAGGGAGGCAATCGCATAGACTCCGCACTGTATTAAACACCCTTTTTTATTAATTGTTTGCTTTTATTTTGTTGTCCCACATGTAGTAAATACTATAGTGTTTTTGAGCCATACTATATTAAAGTGCATTATACTGTATATATTATAGTATTTAGAACACTTTGTATTAACTGTAGTGAACTGTAATAAATACTGTAGTATACTTTAGTTTTACTACATTAAACTGTAGTGTATTGTAGTATAATACACCCTATAGTTGTAGAAAACTTAGTAGTACAGTATTGGTTCGGAACCGAGCCGCTCACATCTGATACAGAAACCGAGGGAAGGTCCAACATCCGGATCCGGTGAGTGACGCGCGATATAAACCACACTCACTCATTCACTCAAGCTTCTGCTAGTTTCATACAATTCTATAAAATATGTAGATTTACGCAGTTATATATCACTGTATCATCTACACGCTGCAAACAGATCCGTGCGGTGGATTCTAACAGGAAGTGAGTCCAACAGGAAGTCAAAGTCACTCATACTCATGTTATATGTGTGTTATTAAATATTTATATAAAAAGAGTGTTATTAAATATGATTTTGATGATACTGAGTGTGTGTCCTGTGATCTGTGAGGATGTTTAACGCTGTTTCCCCGTGTGTGTGTGTGTGTGTGTGTGTCTGTCTGTCTGTCTGTGTGTGTGTGTGTGTGTGTGTGTCACGTGTGTCAGGTGACTGTCAGGTGTTTTCTTTACAACAGATATTAAACTCAAAGATATTAAAATCAGCTCAAAGAAGCATGCAAAATATTTCTGCTAATTACACTAATGAGAGGCAGAGCTGGATAGTAACTGATTACATGTAATCTGGGTTACGTAATAAGAGTCCAAAAAATTAGTATTTTAAGTACTACTTAGATTAGAAATGAGAAATAGAAGTACTTGTAATTAGACTAAATTAGATTTTAAAATACTCATAATCAGACTACAGTTGCTTGTTTATTGATTACATATTATTCACATAAGAGCAATATATTATTATTATTCTCCTCATTTTCATCTTTTCAATGAATGTAAACAAATACAATATTTAATTTTTAGTAAGTGTTCTAATTGATCGATGTTAATAATTAATTATTAGCTTTTAGTTAAACTCACAAACCCCTTAATGTAATGTTTAATGCACTTTATGTTGTTAATAACAACAAATGGAATATATTTTACATTTAGTCTTTTATCCAAAGCGACTTACAAATGAAATCAATCAAAATCAACAAAAGAGCAATTTTACTTGTAATTTGTTTTTAATTAAATAATAGAAATAGAATACAAAAAGAATAGTGTTAGTTTTTTTTAAGAAAACAAGCAGTTAGTAAATGAATAGAGTGCGAGTCTAAAAGGGAGTTTAGTAAAAGTGTAATTTTTGTAATTGTATATAATAACTCATAATAATATTAATGGTGTGGACGATGAATCTGTGTTTCAGAAATGCAGCGCTCAGCGGTTATTTTTGTCCTGGCGTTCTCCACGGCCGCCTGGGCTCTGGATAACGGGCTGATGAGGACCCCGCCGATGGGATGGTTAGCCTGGGAACGTTTCCGCTGCGACACCGACTGTCTGAACGACCCCGACAACTGCATCAGGTTCATCAATTAAACATGATTTACAGTTGAGGTCAAAAGTTTCAGAATCTGCTAAATGCTAATTATTTTACCAAAGTAAGAGGGATCATACCAAATGCATGTTATTGTTTATTTAGTGCTGACCTGAATAATATATTTCACATAAAAGATGTTCACATATAGTCCACAAGAGAAAATAATAGTTGAATTTATAAAAATGACCCCGTTCAAAAAACTTTTTGAATTTGAAGATCAGGGTAAATTTAACTTATTTTGTCTTCTGGGAAACATGCAAGTATCTTCTGTAGCCTCTGAAGGGCAGCACTAAATGAAAAAATACGATATTTAGGCAAAATAAGAAAAGTGTACACATCTCCATTCTGTTCAAAAGTTTTCACCCCCGGCTCTTAATGCATGGTTTCTCCTTCTGGAGCATCAGCGAGCGTCTGAAGCTTCTGTAATAGTTGTGTTTGAGTCTCTCAGTTGTCCTCAGTGTGAAAAGATGCATCTCATAATCATACAGTCACTGCTGGAAAGGGTTTAAATATGCAGATGATGCTGTAAAACCACAGAATGTGCAGGAGCTGGGGGTTTTTCTGAAGAACAGCAGCAGTTTAACTGTTCAGGACAAACAAGGGACTCATGAACAACTATCACTAAACACAAAAACACACAGCTGTGGATCATTCAGCTAACAACACAGTATTAAGAGTCAAGGGGGTGTAAACTTTTGAAAGGGGTCATTTTTACAAATTCAACTATTATTTTTTCTTGTGGAATATATGTAAACATCTTTTATGTGAATATCTTATTCAGGTCAGTAACATGCATTTTGTGTGATCCCTCTTTTTTTGGTTTGGTAAAAAAAACAATTTTTTTTATTATTACTGTTTAGGTTTAATTTTTTTAATGAACTTAAAATATTTAGTTTTAAAAAAAAAATGTTTTATTATGTGCTTGTATTACAATTATTTAGGTAATATAATTGAATGTATTTTTTTATTTTAGTTTTAGTTTTTTTTATTTTAGTTTTTTTTTTTTTCAGTTAGTTGCCAAAGCACCATTTCTTATTTTTATTTAAAGTTTGTCATCTAATATTTTATTTTATATTTCATATTGTATTTTAAATTTTATATTTTATTTATTATCACCTTTATTTCATTTTTATTATTTGTGACCCTGGAGCACAAAACCAGTCTTAAGTGTCAATTTTTCAAAATTGAGATTTATACATCATCCATAAATAAGCTTTCCATTGATGTATGGTTTGTTAGGATAGGACAATATTTGTAAATCTGGAATCTGAGGGTGCAAAAAAATCTAAATATTGAGAAAATCATCTTTAAAGTTGT